TTCCTTCCCCCTTCCTTCCCTCTTCTCCCATTCCCCTCCCTCTTCTTCTTCTTCTCCCTCCCACCCTTCCCCTTCTTCTCGTCCCTTCTCCTTCCCCATATTCCATCTCCCTCTGCCTCCGTGACCCCTCGTGACCTGACCTTTCCCGGTTCAGTGGAAGGCACTCCGTAACCCGTTTTCTTTCCGCAACCCGTTTTCTTTATGGTCTGTCCCTTTTAGTAATCTCTCTCTAGGATCGGAACTCACGTGAGCGGGTTCGAATTCGCCTTTTGTCGTGAACTGATGTCTACAAGCGCTGGAAGGAGGAGGGGTCTTCTGTTTTGTTATGCTTTGTTTCTTCTCTCTCTCTCTCTCTGTCTGTCTATCTACCAGTATGTCTGTTTATCTATCCATCTATCTATCTCCCTTTTCTTTTCTTTGTTTTTTTTTTCATCTTCGTCATCATCTTCTTTGTCTTTATAGTCGTTATCGTGTCAGACATCATCTTTTTTTCTTTCTCGTCTTTTTCTTTTCTTCTCTTTCATTTTTTTCCATCCTCCTCCTCTCTTCTCTTCCTTCTACGTTTTCACTACCTTTTCCAGTCCGTTTCCCTGCACTTTCTTCCTCCACCTCTTCCTCCACCTCCTCCAACACCACCGCTTCCTCAACCTCCTCCCCCTCTACCGCTCCCTCCACCTCCTCCTCCTCCACCGCTTCCTCCACCTCCTCCTCCTCCACCGCTCCCTCCACCTCCTCCTCCTCCTCCAGCGCTTCCTCCACCTCCTCCCCCTCCACCACCAGCACAACCAACGTCTCCCCCGCCTCTTCCGTCGCGTAATCTCTCCATAAATATGAGTTAGGGATTCCTACTTCAACGCAAAAATATCCCGACAACTTTCAGTTTGACCCCAAAGAAGAAGGCCATTTGGACCTGATTTCCCTGGGTCTCAAGCGGGCCCCAGATCCCGTTTTCTGTTATTCTTAGACTAGGATGTGATGTCACTTTCGAGCTCATAGAAAACGGGAAAAGTGATGATGTTATATCTATTTATACCATTATTATCGTGCACGTAATATGATTCTTTTGTAACGGGTTTTTCTTGAAAGTAAGACTTTTTTTTCTCTCTCTCCTTTTTCTAAGCTCTTGAAAAGGAACACGAAATAAAAAAAAACAAAAGCGAATGCAGCATACAGATTATTACAGACATGCAAGATCGCGCAACGCCAACACAGACGCTTTCAGTAATCTTTCGGAGAAAAAAAAACAAAATAACGTAACCAAAAAAGGAAAGAAAAACGAAATTAAACCTTGATGCAAGATCTAGGCCATCTCCGCCATGATTGTGACAGTTCACCCTGTTGGCAGGTCACGCACGGGGGTCAACATGGGTCATGACCTTCCTGACTTCGCACATCCTATCTCGTTTTCCTTCGCCTTTACCTTCTCACATTATGACGAAATTCTTATTCGATTCTACGTTTTGTCATTGATCTCTTGTGGGTCAGAGTACAGCACAGGGAAAGTTTTAGTTTCTTTTTCTTTTCTTTTTTAGGTGGCCATTTTAATACATTCAGTTGTGATTTCGTTATGATTTATATACCGTTTCGTGTTTTGTTTGTTTTAGCTGATACTTATTTGTCTGTGTTCGTTTGCTCATTTTGTTTTTTGGTTAAGTTATCAAAATGCTTTGATTGATAATTCTTTAGGGGAAAACAACGAAAATATTTATATAATTTGATTCTTTTCTTTTTCTTTTTCCTTTTCATATTTACAGACACAGATATCGTACCTAAGTACCCCCCCCCCCCTATTTAAGGTCGTTTTCTCTTATGCATAATTTTCACTATTTTTTCACGATACTAAAAGAAGGAAAATTACAGGCATTAGGCACGAGAAATAGGCCTTACGAAATTACAGTAACAATGGTACTATAGGCCTATTGAGGGCTTCCACTTTCTAGTCGTTAGCATGAAACCCAATATGGTAACGTATGATTTTTATATACTGACTCGTTACGTAATTGTGATGGGGATTTCAAATGCAAATTCTTGTTCGTGGATAGGATCATCAGTCTACTTTACTTTCATTAATCTTTACAGACATATATACACACAAAAGAAAACACACTCACGTACATACATACACACAAAAACACACACATGCGCATATATACACACACGCAAACACACACGTACACACCCCCACACACACACACGCACACACACACACACACACACACACACACACACACACACACACACACACACACACACACACACACACACACACACACACACACACACATATATATATATACAAGTGAAAGAAACCATCGACCATTAAATAATTCAACTTATAAATTAAATATCTTTTTATTATCAGTAATTATATAATCATCCTTTTGCAACACTTTCTATAACTGCATATTATAAATATCCCTCTCATTAGGAAGGACATTAATAAAACATCCTTCTCATTATAAAGGAAATTGGTAAGACGTCTCTCTCAATATAAAGGATATTAATAATACAAGGCGTCATATTAACACTTGATCAATTAAATCGGTTACTCGTGCCATTCTCTCACTGAAAAATAATACAAATTAATTAAGATAAGCTTTGGATAATAAAGATTCATAGTAATATTAATTATGTTTTTTTGTCTTAGTATAATGAAGTAACAGTTAATGATTTTAAGATTAAGAAATGGCTATAACTGCACGGGTGAATATAATTATCAAGTTGAAAAAAATAAAGATGCGTAGGCAAAATAAATGAATGAATGATGAGATAGATAAACAAATAAATAAAGAGAGAAATGAATAAATATAGAGAGAAATGAATAAATAAAGAGAGAAATAAGTGGTAAATAAATTAATATATACTCTGATAAACGAAACTGATACATCGTCCCTCAGTCCTTCGAAAACTATTGCTGAAACAATAGCGCAGAGGATGCGTGCTTAAATGCAATTATGGCGCCAGCAACCTTCCCATGCACGGTTTCCCTTGATCCTTGCCGCTGGGTTGTCGAGATTATGATAAATGTTGGTATAAGAGGGTTATAAAATTAAGGAAAGGAAAATAAAAATAAAAATAGGAGAGAGAAAAAAAATATATTAATGACTGTTTGGATTAAGTCTTCATGTACCAAGTGTAGGTCACTTTTTTGGGTTGGTTTTATATTTTATTTATACATTTTATATCTTTTTCGATTCGTTTTGTTTTGTTTTGTTTTAGTTTTTACTTGGCAACTGTTAGTCCAAACGTTAAAAAAAATCGGTTGATATTAGTATATGAATATCATGTGTAAGAAAAATATTCATTAGAGTCACACAGTCACATGTAGCAATAAAGCGATTTTGATAATGATGATAACTACAGTTTCATTAATAACAATAACTTTTTTTTTCTTTATTTTTTTACTTACTAAATCTTCATCATTCCATCTCCTTCACTTATTGCAATTTATCAACCCTTGTTCTTCGCTATCAGTAGAAATCATTTTGGCAAGACCTGTAATCAAAGCATATTAAGGTATATCAAGGTATATCATGGTATATCATGGTATATCAAGGGAATATGTCTTTCTGTGGTATTCGTGTGTTGTTTTTGTTACATGAGTATGGTACATCTCTTTCTGATCTCTTGGGCTGTTCTTGTTTCGTCCTTTTGTTTTGTGTTGATTTCTTTGTTTATTTGTTAAATTGCCTTTTAGTTATCTTTTGGTTCGTATTTGTTTCGTCTTCTGTTTCTCTATCGCTTTGTCTCTTTTGTCTCTTTTTGTTTTCTTTCTCCCTTCCTCCTTTCTTCCCTCTCTCTCTCTCTTCCTCCTTTCTTCCCTCTCTCTCTCTCTTCTTCCTTCTCACCCCTTCCTCCCTCCCTCCTTCCCTCCCTCTCTCCCTTCCTCCCTTCCCCCTCCCTCCTTTCCTCCCTCTCTCCTTCCCTTCCTCCCTCCCTCCCCCTCTCTCTCTGCCACAGTAATAACAATAACAATAAAAATAATAAAGCAGCGTGTGCTCCCTTACCCAACCCTACCCCCCTTTCCGTATCCCCCCACCCCCCCTCTATATAATCACTCCAGCAAAAGATAACGTCTGTTGCCAGTTATTCTTCTCTTTCTCCTTCTCCTCCCCTTTTTTCCTCCTCCTCCTCCTCCTCATACTCATACTCATTTTCATGTACTCTCCTCCTCCACCTCCTCCTCCTCCTCCTCCTCCTCCTCCTCCTCCTCCTCCTCCTCCTCCTCCTCCTCCTCCTCCTCCTCCTCCTCTCCTCCTCCTCTTCCTCCTCCTCCTCCTCCTCCTCCTCCTCCTCCTCCTACTTCTCCTCCTCCTTCTCCTCCTCCTCCTCCTCCTACTTCTCCTCCTCCTTCTCCTCCTCCTCCTCCTCCTTCTCCTCCTCCTCCTCCTCCTCCTTCTCTTCCTCCTCCTCCTCCTCCTCTTCCTCCTCCTCCCCTCCACAACCTCTTCTAACTCCTCCTCCTCCTCCTATTCCTCCTCCTATTCCTCCTCCTCCTCCTCCTCTTCCTCCTCCCCTCCCCCTCCCGTCTGCGATGACCCCTGACCCCTCACATCCCCGAGGAAAGGTCAAAAAGGTCAAATTCCCAAACACTCGACCATTATCTCTCTCCATCCGTGTGTCTAATGGCAATCGACAGATGATTCCTTCTGGTCTTTGTCGTTGGGGGGGAAGGGGGGGAGGGGGGAGGAAAGGGGTAGGGAGGGGGAAGGGGGGGAGGGGGGAGGAAAGGGGGTAGGGAGGGGGAAGGGGTAAGGAGGGTTGGGAGGGAGAGGGGTTGGAGTATTAATCTATTCTGGGAAAATACTTTATCCATAAGCATAATGATAACTAGGGTAATGATTATAAAGATAATGAATAAGAAAAAGATGAAACAAAGAAAATAAATCAATTATAATAATAAAATTACTCAAACAAATATTAATAAAAAACGAATTCACAAACATAAATAAGGAAAACAAAAACACTAATCACCTTTTCTCTCCCCCCCCCCCCTGCAGGTTTCTACGCCGACATCGAAACGCGCTGCCAGGTGTTCCACGTGTGCAACATCGACGGTTCGGGCATCAAGTTCCTCTGCCCCAACGGCACCATCTTCAACCAGGAACACTTCACGTGCGAGTGGTGGAACCAGGTCTCTTGTGGCGACGCCGAGTCCTTCTTCAACCTCAACAACGAGATTGGTGTAGTTCCTCCTGAGAGTCCTTACCAGCCCGACCGCCCACGCCCCGTCCAGCCCGACCGCCCACGTCCCGTCCAGCCTCGTCCGCCCGCGCCCACGCCAGGGTCGCCGTCGATCAATGTGCCCTTCACCGCCCAGACGCCTCGTCCCGTTCTGACACAGACGCCCCGACCACGTCCACCACCCACATTCCGCCCACAGCCTCCGCCTCCGCCTCGTCCCGTTCAGACACAGACGCCCGCAACACGTCCACCACCCACATTCCGCCCACAGCCTCCTCGTCCTTTCCAGACACCCCGCCCGCAGCTCCCTCAACCCGTCCAACCTCAGACATTCCGCCCACAACCCCCGCCGTCTCCCAGCCCACTACCCCCACAACCGCCACGTCCCGCACAAACACCCCGCCCACAGCTCCCTCGTCCCGTCCAAACCCCACGCCCACCCCCACCATTCCAGCCCCAACCTCCTCCCCAGCAGACTCCCCGCCCACGCCCACCTCAGCCCACTACTTACCGCCCGCCCGCCAACCCTGTCACAGGATACCCCGAGGTGCCAGATCCCCCCAATGGCCTTTACCTCACCCCCAACTTCGGAAAGAGACTCAACTAAAAGGACTTCCTCGCTCTCTACATGCTAGGCCGCGATAGGACCCAGCTAGGACTTACCCCCCCCCCCACCACCACCACCACCCCAGCCCCCAGCCTCACCTATCCTCCCCCCATCCCCCCACCTACTGGGAAGAGACTCACCTGGGACTTCTTCATCCCCTTCCCCTCCCCCTTTCCTTCCTGCCCCCCCCCCCCTTTCAACCCCTTCGGATCGGACCAGCCAATCAGGACACTAAAGCAGGTTTCTTTGTGTTCCTGTCTATTTACACCTTTTTTTCCCTTCAATTTTTATTCCTTGTATTGTCTCTTTCCCCTCTTTCTTTGAACAGAAAAAAAGGGGAAAGGGTTCATATGTCTTTTGTATATGGAGAAAAAAAAAACAGATCCTTTGCATATGACGTAACAACGCATGTGTCGTTTAGAAAAATGTTTATCGGGGTGTCTGTCTATGTATGCTATTTGAATTTTTTCTTTGCTAAAATATACAATTTAAATATCAGACACTGTTCATTCTGTACATAAACCTACCGCGAGTTATACACATGCATAACTATATATATATATATATATATATATATATATATATATATATATATATATATATATATATATATATATACATAAATATATACATATGCATACATATATGTATGTATGTATTTATGTATGCATGTATGTATGTATCTATATCTTGTGTCATACCGATATCAATATGACAAAATACAAACATAAGAAACAATAAAACTCATTGTATATTAACGAAAATATCGAAATAATACACACCAAAAAAGGAACAACATGAAGAAGAAGGAGCACAGTAATAAATAAACAAAATTACATTTTTCTTTTTAACTCTCTCTCTCTCTCTCTCTCTCTCTCTCTCTCTCTCTCTCTCTCTCTCTCTCTCTCTCTCTCTCTCTCTCTCTCTCTCTCTCTCTCTCTCTTTCTTCCTAGCAAATGTTATAGCCTTTCCTAATGCTTTCCCTAAATACTGGTGGTCACAAAATAAGAACACGAAACACAAAACACACAAAAATATAAAACATTTTGTTAACAGATATCAAAACGTGTGTCTGAAAATTGGTGGTTTCCATAAATTGTCCTGGTTAATATATCTTTATAAGCGAAGGTCTTTTGATACAGGGAACAAGAAATATTTTGATAGAATCTGATAATTAATTTTCCTTTTTTTTTCAAAATACATATTCCATAAAATCTTTTAAAAACTGTGATAAAACAAAATCAGAACGGAGCGACTTTACCGAAAATGGGATTCGAACTTATGAACGATCTAAGAGAACACGTTTAATTCTTTAGTAAATACATTTATGTACAATATAGTTCATGACAAAAAAAAGTATATAAATAGATGAATATATATATATATAGAGCCATCCTTCACTGTATATTCTCGTCATGCTTTTCGATATGATAAAAATGATGATAAAAAAATAATATTCATGTAATAAGCGTTTGTTATATGGGATCAGAACATATATGTGTATCCATGTATGTCTCAAATTGGATTGTGTACAGAGCTGGTCGTGCTTACATGTAGTGTCTATAGAAATATACATTAAACGATGAAGACAATGTTTTATTTTCCCTTTCAAAGCAAATGGTGTTTATTGAAGGTACATACACAGACAAATGTGTGTGCGTGTGCATATGCATACACAAGTGATGTGGAGAGGGGGTTCCTCCATATCACCCTTGCCTGTGCCCTGGGGAGGATACTCCAGCGCCGCTGCAAAGCAATGACACGATTGATGTAGTGCAGTTGTGGGAGAGATTGTTCCAGCGCCAACTCACGTATCATGACTCTTCATGGCGCAGGTCCATGGCCTCTTCTGGCTGACGGATGACACAAATGATAATAAACAAAAAAATCGCACACACACACTTATATCTATAAACATCAGTATATTTATATATGTATATATATACATACATATATACATACATATATATACATACATACATACACATATATCTATCTATCTATCTATATATATATATATATATATATATATATATATATATATATATATATATATATATATATATATATATATATATATATATATATATACATAAACATATAAATATATATATGTATATGTAAACATATATATAGATATATACATAAATATATATATATATATATATATATATATATATATATATATATATATATATATATATGAACAAATAAAGGAATAATGAAACGCAGGAAGAGATATGATCATGATAATAATAATAATATGATGATGATGATGATGATAATGACAGTAACAATGATGAGAATAAGGGTGGTGGTGATCATAATATTGATAATGATAATAATAATGATAATAATATCAATAATAAGGATAATAATTATAATGTTAGTAATAATCAAAATTATAGTAATGGTAATAACAATAATAATAATAATTATAATAACTATAACAACAATAGTAATGATAACAGAAATGATAATTGTAATATCAGTAATGATAATAATGATAATGATAACAACAATAACAAAATAATAAGTAATAAATCACAGTAGAAAGAAGAAGAAGAGGGATGACAATGATAATGATAATAAAAGTAAAGATTAAAGCAAATTAATATAACAATAAAGGTAATAGTGATAGCAATATTGAGAATAATGGTAATGGTGATAATAATAATAATAATGATGATGATAATAACAGTATTAATGATAATGATAATGATAAAGATAGGAACAATGATAATGATAATAATAATAATGATAATGATAATCATAATAACAATAATGATAATAAGAATGATAATGGTAATCATAAAGATAATAATGATAATACTAATATATGATAATAATGATAGTAATGATAATATCAGTAATATTGATAATTATAATAATAATGGTAATACTACTACTACTAATAATAATAATAATAATATTAATAATAATAATGATAACAGTATTAATGGTAATAATAATACTGATAATACTAATGCTAATAATTATAATAATAATAATAATAATAATAATAATAATAATAATAATAATAATAATAATAATAATAATGATAATAATGATAATAACAGTAATGACAATAATAATAATAACAATAATAATGATAGTAATAATAATAATAATAAGAAGAAGAAGAAGAAGAATGATAATAATAATAATAGTAACAACAACAGCAACAATAGTAATAATAATAATAGTAATTTTGATAATGATGATTATGATGATAACACTGATTATAACAATAATGATAATAATAGTAATAATAATAATATTAATAACAATAATAATAATAATAATAATAATAATAATAATAATGATAACAATAATAGTAGTATCAACAACAACAACAACAATAGTAATAATAATAATAATAATAATAATAATAATAATAATAATAATAATAATGATAATAATAATAATAATAATAATAATAATAATAATAATAATAATAATAATAATAATAATAACAATAATAATAATCATCATCATACTAGTAATAGTAGTAGTAGTAGAAGTAGTAATAATTACAGTGAAATAATAATTGTAATAATGATATTTGTGAGAATGATTATAACGATAATAATTATAATAATGATAATAAAAATAATAATAATGACAATTGAATAGGATTATGATGATGATGATGATAATGATAATGATAATAATAATAATAATAATAATAATAATAATAATAATAATAATGATAACAACAACAACAATAAAAATAATAATGATAATTAATAATAATGATAATAATAATAACAATAATAATGATAATAATAACAATAATAATGATGATACCTATCATTGCTAATATTAGTAATACTAATAATGACAATAATAATGATAATACTAAAAAAAAAAAAATACGATAATGATGATAATAATCAAGATAAAAGTAACAAAGATGAAGGGAAAATCAAAACAACAACAACAAGAACAACAGCACCAAAATCAACAACAAAATCAACAGCAAAATCAACAGCAACAATGACAAGAATATATTTTCCGCCAAAAGCATAAAAGAACGTTTCCCATCCTTAATAAAGACACACGAAGGGGGGAGGTCTAAACCGCATTCAATTTATGTGAAGGTCGGTTAGTGTACTATCTCCTCGCATGCGGAAAAGGCCGGTTATCTTGCTTTTTTATTTTTATTTTTTTTTTATTTGTTTATTTATTTTTTATTTTTTTTTGGGGGGGAGGGGAGTGGTTTGTTTTTCGTTGTATTATTATTGTTTTTTTTATTGTTGTTATTCTTACGGTTATTTTGTTTGTTTTTTTTGTTTTTTGTTTTTTCTTGATTTTTTTCTTGTTCTTTTTCTTTTAATTCTTTCCGCTATTTTGTTGTTTTTTTTGTTATTGTTTTTCTTCGTTTTTTTATATTTCTTCATACTTTTCTTCTGATTATTATTTTTGTATTTTTTTTCTTGTCCTATTTTCTTTTCTTTTTTCTTTTTCTTCTCATCTTTCTTTTTACTATTCTTCCGGTTAATTTGATGTTTCTTCATTTACTTGATAATTTAACTTTCTTGTCCTATTTTTTTTTTTTTTTTTGTCCTTTTTTTTCTATTTATTTTTCTTTTCTTATTTCTCTTTCTTGTCTTACTTTTCCTTTTCTCTTTTCTACTCTTTTAATTTGAACAAAAATGTAAATAATAACAATTTGTCCACAAATATTATTTTTCTTGACAGGGTTATTTTTAAGAATTCATGCCCGTTTTCTTTGTTTGCCTGTGGTTTGATTAAAAACTCAGAATTCATTTAGATTTAGATTATTATTTTTAAAAATACAGGAATCCTATGTTAAGTGTTGATGACAAATGAACAATATGAGTGATATGATATCCATCAACTAAAATGGTAATAATTAAACATTCGATACCTCTGAGGATCTTGTGATCATGATACATATCTACACATACATAACATTGATGTAGTATGTATTATATTAGACTGTCATTATAAGAAAATACGTTGTCACACAATTCAACGTATCGAGTTAAAACTCTACGCGTGTTGCACTCCCTATTTCAGTCAATACTACTCCTTATATCGGGGTACACAGAATCAGTATTGCTCTTAGGTATCAGTACTAATAATATTCTTGACACTGCCACTACTGTGAGGACGCGTTAATGTCAGTTTAATCGTCAATAATCCTATATGGTGAATTAGGACAATCTTTATGTTGTAATTATCTTGGCACATTTGCAAAACGCATTTTTTTTAATTTATACCAGAATTAAGCAAAATTTGACTGATCTGAAAAATATATACTACTATCAAATAAGGAGAGATGAAAATAAATAAATAGAATGCTAAACCAACAAGGCTTTAAAGAAATGGCGAACCCTTAAAATATATGCTTGAGAAAAATATATTTATTTACTTCAACTGCGAACATGCTATTTTTCCGTGTCTGGGAGAATGCTGATGACGACAGCAGAACGACGAACACAAGAACATAAAACGCCAAACATCCAACGGTTTGAAAATCCACCATGACGATTTTGAGTTTTCAGTTTTGCCAGAACACCACCAACAAGATCTTGCTTAACACAGGCCATTGGTAATATTGGCAGTGCAGAAGTATAGGCTGAGATAGTGATGGTTTGTACCCTATTTTCAAAAGCATTTATATCTGTTGTTTAGAGTTTCATGATGTACGGTTTATGTAAATAAAAGGACTAAACTACACTTCTACCGTCTCATCGTGATTGGGACATACTGACATGTAGTATATGTAGTATAATGATAATGTGTACAATACTTTAAATTTAAACCTCGGACTAAAGGACCCCTCAGCAACGGCCACCGGATGCAACGGACAATATTCATAGAACCAATTGTCCGATATACGATAGGTCAGTAAGTGCCCGGATTTTTTTGCTTTATGACCAGTGTCCGTTGAGATCGTCGTCATTCACTGGATATTTTCGGTGTTTTTATGCGTATTATTTTTTCTGGTGGAAAGACATCATCGGGTGATCCACCTCTATACTTTTACTTCACATATCTACTGAGGTGTAACTATCCATGTGCCTGGTTATATCTTGCATTCTTACCTTTAATTTCATACTGATAAGGTAGGTCTCAATGAAAATCCTAGTTTTTCAATCATTTTTACCATTGTTAATTATTTTACAATAAAAAATAATACAATGAGGAAACACTCCCTGATTTGTTTGTATCGGGGTGGGGTTAAACTACATACAGGTAGTTCAATTGGGCTATAACATCTAAATTACATAAAACAAGTTGAAAAGACTATGTATGATAGCGAAAACCAAGCATCAGAAGTAGGGAACAGTCTGTAATCATTGATTTTCAACATTTACCTGAACAAGAAAATCATAAATAGATCACTTGAAGAAATACAAACAAATATTGAAATTCTACAAACAACCTAATGATATGACGAATCTCTATGAGACCTGTAGAGATAATTGTTAAAGATATGTGCCCCTGAAAACATTAGAAAAAAATTGTATCATGTGATCGAATAGTGTTGTTTAAAAACAAAAAGAAAAATGTAAGTAACTAAATTCAACAATTGATCATGACAAAAAAAAAGGATTAAATCAGAGATAAACGACTTAAAAACAGACAGTCTATATGAAACATAAAGTCTTAACTATATAACTTACACTGAAAGAGGCGTCGTCGCAGCAAACTGGTCAGCCCAAAACTAGACTATTGATCTTTGTCTTTCGACTTATCCCTGTTTCAGGGTAGCTACAGCGCCTCAACTTTCTCCATCTCTTTCTGTCTTGTATGTCCTCCTCCTCAGCACCCATTTGCACCATATCTTCTGCTTTTTCGGTTTGCCTTTGCGTCTCTTTCCTGGTGGTGCCATTTGCAACATTCTTCGGTCAACGCAGTTCTCTTCCCTTCTCTTCACGTGGTCAAACCATCTCAGTCTCCACGCTCTTAACTAGCATGCCCCACACTGTCTCATTCCTTATTCTGTTTTTTTTTTCCATGCGAGACCCAGAGCGAATCTCAACATTCGCATCTCTGTTACTTCCATCATTGCTTCTTGTAACTTGGTACTGGTACTGTCTCCATGCCATACAACATTGTTAGTCATACACACGTCCTATAGATTTTCCCCTTCACTCCTATTGGCATGATCCTGTCACGCAAAACTCCTGTCACTTTTTTCCACCCATTCCACCCTGCCTGCACTTTCCTTTTAACTTCAGCATTGCCAGATCCTTCACAGTCTGCTGTTGAACCCAAATACTCTATACATTCATTTTCTTGATCATTTTCCCTTGCATCTTCCATCTCTTTCCTTCTCATTTACACAGAGATACTCTGTCTTCCTTCTGCTGACTTTCATGCCACGCCTCTCCAATGCATGTCTCCACCTTTCCAGATCTTATTCTACTTCTCATCTATTTTCGCTACACAGCACAATGTCGTCTGCAAACATCATAGACCACGGCGCTCCTTTCCTAAGCCCATCAGTTAACTTATCCATGATAACAGCAAAACAAGAAGGGGCTCAGGGCTGACCCCTGTGTAATCCAACTTCCACCTTAAACCATTTTGTGATACCCACTGCACTTCTCACTTCTGCTATACACTCATATACATATCTTGTATAATCGGTATCGATGACTCCCAAGTTCCTTTCTTGGTACGTTATTTATTTATATGCCTTCTCCAGATCTATGAACACACAATCCAGTTTCCTTTGTCCCTCTCAGTATTTTTTCATCAACATTCGCAGTGCAAAGAGGGCATCTGTGGTACTTCTCCCTGGCATAAAACCAAACTGTTCATCAGAAACTCCTTAACCTTGTGTTTATCACCGTTTCCCACAACTTCATTGTATGACTCATTAGTTTGATGCCCCGGTAATTACCACAATCCTGCGCGTCTCCTTTGTTCTTGTAAATGGGTATCAGTGTGCTTTTTCTACATTCACCTGGCATTCTCTCTCCTGAAAGGATTTTGGTGAATAGAGATGTCAGGTATCCAGCCCCTGCTTCTTCTAGGCTTATCCATGCTTCTATACGAATGTTGTCTGGTCCTAAAGCTGTGCCCCCCTTCATCTCCTTCAGTGCCGTCTTTACTTCATTCTGTGTTACTCCTTCAACCGTTACTTCTGCTATCACCCCATTTCCCTCTCTCATTTCCCTGGGGTTTTCAACATTCATTTTCGAAGTAGTCTTTCCATCTCTGCATCACCTCCTCCTCGGTATCATTATTCTATCCTTAGCGTTCTTTATCAGTTTGATTTGCTGTACATCCTTTGCTGCTTTATTCCTCTGCTTTGCCACTCAATACACCATGTTTCCCCCTCTTTCGTATCCAGTTTCTCATACATCTCACTGGCTTCTTCTATGATTTCTCTACTGCCACCTTTGCCTTTTTGTTAGCTCCCATGTACAGAAACTTGCGTCTTAGATCTTTTCTCTTGTGCCACTCTTTCCATACTTCTTTCTTTCTCGCAATAGTTTCCTGTACGTCTTTATTCCACCACCATGTTTCCTTGTCCCCCTTTTTCTCCCCAGTTGTCATGCCAAGCAATTCCTTTGCTGTTTCCTGCAATACGTTCGATACGTCTACCCTCCAGGTCTTCCTCCTAGTTCATCTTCTGGCCTACCTCCTGTCTAAATTTTACACCAAAGAATTTTTCTCGCAGTTTCTACCACTTGATTCTAAGTTCTGCTTTTACCTTTCTTCTCCTTCAGCTCGTCAGACTATATAATGATATTTTGACCCGCTTTCGCCTGGTATGACCTTGCAATCTCTGTCTTCCTCCAAATGCACCCTGCAGCACAGGATCTAATCAATCTGAGTACGCCTGCCTACTACGGACTAGTGATATTACCGTTTATTTGATGGAGTGATGAAGAAAATATTGTCCAGTATTTGTGAATTTCGTAAGGGTAAGCCTTGCCTATCCTAAATCCTCAACCACTGCGCACACATTAACAGACCTAAGTGAAAACCTTCAGCAAGGTTGACCACGGAAGTTTATTCTGCAAGATAAGGGATCTTAGAATCAGAGAAAAAGTAGGCTTATGGGAAAGTCGGCTTTCGGCAATAAAAGGTAATGACAAACTGATATTTCTCTGGTTAAACAATTGTTAAAAATGGAGCACCGCACGAGTTTGTGCTTCGGCCTCTTCTGCTTTTCCTAATTATGACTAGTAGTATTGATAAATATATTAAACACACACCGGGGTAACATCATGTACAGATGATACAATAAGTATACACTTCAAAGATCAAATAAAAAAATAGTTCTAAGAGATATAGGCTTACTTGTGAGTAATGACATGAGCTCCAGTCATCACCCTGAACAGACAGTCAGCAAAGAAAAAGTTATGAATGGAAGAATAAGGCAGAATTATCAGACAAGAGATCCAGAATATACACAGTAGTGGAATTATATTTGCAATTATTGACATTGAATTTATTGGAAAACAACCTTAGTTTTTTTTACCCACCCCTTCTCCCTTGAAACCCGTGGGGGAGGAGCTAAATTGTGTATGTGTGTGTATATATATTTATATTTTTTTTATTTGCTTATTTAATTATTTTTACACATACACATATATACACGCATAAATCATAAATACATACACATTCATCATCATCATTGGGGAGCTAACGCCGGTAGGGGCGCATAGCCGCGTCCACCCTTCGCTTCCACCTGCGAGGGTCTCTCATGGCGAGCCGCCAGGCAGGGGCCCGGCCCATCTCTAGTTCCTCACGGCAGGTTAGATCGATCTGCCCAAGCTACGACCTTCTCAGTCGTCCCACAGGCTTCCTCCACCCAGGGTTGTGATGGGCAGGATCATCCTGCGGGAATCGAGCCAAGTGGCCATATAGCCTGAGTTGGCGATCACGGATTGTGCAAGTAGCAGGTCCTGTACCCGTCTCACAGTGTAGCTGTTGGTTGGACACATGGTCCAGCCAACTGTACCCCATGATCCGGCGCAAGGATCTGTTACAAAAGGCATCGAGACGAGATTCCAAAGCACAAGATAGCGTTTAAGTTTCACTACCATATAGTAAAACTGGCAGTATCAGGGCCTTGAAAACTCGTAGCTTGGTCCTTCTGCACAGGTACCGGCATCTCCAAATACTCTTGTCGAGAGATTTCATGACCCCTGCTGCCAGGCCAATCCGTCTACTGACTTCCTGGTCTGACAGCCCAGAGTCATGAACTGCACTACCGAGGTATATAAAACTCCTTGTGACTTCGATGTTTTCACCGCAAGCACGTACCGACTGCACAGGGTCTCCTAGTAGGCCCCCCAGGAGACCTCTAGCCCCAGGGGCTTCGCTTCATTGCTAAATGCATCAAGAGCCGCCACTAGGGATTCCAGAGATTCAGAAAGAATGGCAACATCATCAGCAAAATCAAGGTCTGTAACCTTGATATTGCCCAGAGTTGCTCCACAGTGACTTTGGACAGTAGCTCTACCCAGTATCCAATCCATGCAAGTGTTGAAAAGTGTTGGCGCAAGAACACAGCCTTGCCTCACGCCTGAACTAACAGGAAAGAAGCTCGACAGGCCCCCACCACACTTTACAGCACTTTCAGAGCCTGTATACAGATTTGCTATTAGCCCAACAATCCTTGTTGGAATTCCTCTCAGTCTCAGGATCTCCCAGAGTGATTCGGGATGCACCGTATCAAACGCCTTCTTGAGGTCGATGTAGGCTGCGAGCAGCCCACGTCCGAACTCACGACGGCGCTCTACAATGACTCGAAGCGCCAGGATGCGGTCTATTGTGGACTTACCAGGAGTGAACCCAGATTGCTCCGGTCTTTGGTGCCTCAGGAGGTGGTCTCTGATACGTCTCAGTAAGATATGGGCTAGTACCTTGCCCCTGGTACATACACACACACAAATATATATATATATATATATATATATATATATATATATATATATATATATATAAATATATGTATGTATGTATGTTTATATGTCTATGTGTGCGTGAGTGCATGTGTATATATGTGTTAATACATACATACATATATATAAATATATATATATATATATATATATATATATATATATATATATATATATATATATATATATATATATATGCAGAGAGAGAGAGAGATACAAATATATATATGTGTGTGTGTGTAAAGATAGATACAGATACGAAATTATTTAAATAGATAGAGACAGATAAATACACACACACTTCATTTACCCTATTAATATTAAAATTAAGATCTCTCCAAATATGGATATGGATCACAGAGGACATTTTAGATATTGATTTTCATAGTATTTGAGTTTATATAATTTTGCTTAATTTTTCTTGTTCCATATTATCATGTGGAAGCCGAGGGTTGTTAATACACTAGTTACCCCTAAAATAATTTTATTTTCTATGAAGTAGTTGTCTAAGAAAATATGTTAGGGGTAACTAATATAGAATTAAGAAACAAAATTGAACGAAGCGAGAATGGTTGTTGATCGATGACATCGTGACTTAAATTATTTTCTTACCGCCTGATTTATACAGTGACCATCACAATTAATGTGTGAGCTTGTATAGTCTTTATCTGCTCGGGAAGGATGACATGTATGTGTGTGTTTGAGGGGGGGGGGGGGGGGTGAGAGAATGCCTATTATTTTTCTTTCTTTCTTTTTTGCTTAGGTAAATCTAAGGTATTTTTCTTTACCAACAGATGGCATGCCTGCTTGCTCCGATGTCAGTGATTGGTTAATACTACTTTCTCAGTCTACTGTTGTCCAATAAGCAACCGTAGCATCAAATTCTTAACGCCATCTATTGGTGATCGAAATAGAAATTAAACTTTATTTTAACACTTAATTATCTACATACATTTAACGTCTCCCTGATCACTCCTTGAATTACTGGAGTCCTAACATCAAGCGGAGCTGAGTACAAGGAAACAAATAAGTTTAACTATGTAAGTTTTTTTTTTCTTTTTTTTTCGTTTTCATTACTTGTTGAAAAAAGATAAAGAGAGACACAAGTAGAGAAATGTACGGATTAGATATATTATATGATAGAGAAATCTACAATGCACAAGCTAGTTTTATTGAATAAATCCAGAAATCCACAATGCACAAGTTAGTTTTATTGAATAAATCCAGATTGTGCATTATAGGTTTTTCCACCACAATACCAACACGGTAGAATATTTTACCATTCAATTATATACATATATGATGATTTTAGGGGAAAGGTCATGGTGTCCAATTTTGTCTTTTCTCGGTTCTGGATCACACAGCTGTGTGAAATTAAGACGATGTTGTATATATGAATATGGAAGCAAATTCAACAAGATGAAAGGAGAAGTGGACAAGACGCAAAGTAGAGACTCATCTCCAACCCTATTTTCTGAATTATTTTCATCCTTTTCCCTTCTTTTCTCTCCGCTCACTTTCTCAGTCCCCCCCCCCCCTCCTCCCTGCAATCTCTCCCCTTCTCTCTCTCATCTCACCCCTCTTTCTCTCATCCCTCCCTCTCCCACATCTCTCCCTCCCACTCCTTCTCCTACAATCCCACCACCTCAACTTTTTTTTCTCCATTCCTTTACCCCGTCTCCCGTCATCTTTTCCTCTCTCCCCCTCTGTCTCTCCCTCCTCTATCCGTCCATCCCTTTATCACCTTCCCTCTTCTGTCATCACACTCCTCGATTCCTCCACCCCCCCGCGTGAGTGCGTTTTTTATATGTGAATATAATGTATACAAATGCATATGCAAATGTGTATACGTATATGTATATGTATATATATATGTATATATATTTATATATATCTACATGTACGTGTATATATATATATATATATATATATATATATATATATATATATATATATATATATATATATATATATATATATATATATATACCGGTATATATATATATATATATATATATATATATATATATATATATATATATATATATATATATATATATATTTATATACCGGTATATATATATATATATATATATATATATATATATATATATATATATATATATATATATATATATATATTTATATACCAGTATATATATATATATATATATATATATATATATATATATATATATATATTTATATACCAGTATATATATATATATATATATATATATATATATATATATATATATATATATATATATATATAT